ATGTATATGTATGTAAATATATTCTATATATAGATATAGATATATACAAATGATATTTAATATTATTATATTATTGTATTCTATGACATTATGCGCGCAGGATACTTGTCTTGGATGTAACCGATCGTGCACGCTGTTGCAAGTACCCATTTGATTCTGGCTTGAAATAACTAGCCGGTAGTATACTGGTGAAATATTTGTATTCGTATATCGAATCCGCCATCTCAATTGACGTCTGTACATCATGTTTTTGCTTATAGGGCGTGAAAGTAGTAGGTCTCGACGCTAAGGAGAAGAGGTTGACACTGAGCAATGGAGATACCGTCGTGTACGAGAAGTTATTATTAGCTACTGGAGGGAGTCCACGCACCGTGTCTGAATTGGAAAATGCGGAGGAGGAGGTTAAGAGCCATGTAACACTCTTCAGGTGCGTATCAGACTAGACAGTGTCACAGGTGTGCCTTTGTATGTTTCTTCAAAGAATTGTGTTTAGTTGGTCCATATTGCGTAGTTGGATATGCCAAGGTGATGGACCCACTCAACATAAGCACGGAATGTCAGTACGTGTTCGTGGTTGCGGTCCAGACAAGGTGTATCTTTTGCGCTCATTATTGCTGTTCAGCCCGCGTTTGGACCAACATTCACAAACTGGCTGGTGAAATTGTTCTGTTTCAGGGGGAGTGTTTGTGTCACTGGACGCGTGCTGCTGTGCACACTCTGAAAGTATCTGCATATAACTTTTCAACCCCGGCTGACCAGGAAAATTGAAGATTTCAGAAAATTGAAAGAGATCTCGGACGGGGCGGAGAGTCTAGTAGTTCTGGGCGGAGGGTTTTTGGGTTCTGAGCTTGCCATCGCTCTGGCACATAAAGGTGCTACTTCAAATATGAAGGTCACTCAAGTGTTCCCCGAACACGGCAATATGGGATTTCTGCTTCCTCAGTAAGTTTGCATGTTGTTCGTGTACTGTACACTCGCGCGCAGGAACAACTCTGAGCGTCAATCTGCAACCCCTAGTGCGTTCAAAAGACCGTTTTCTATTATTTATTGATAGAATTGAGTGACTGTGGTTGATGCCGCTGCCGTCTCATATTCTTATCGACAGGACCGTTGCAAGTTTAGGATTTGCCTTCCTTGATTGTCCGTTATGCGGACATTTGTGGGAGTGATAGCATAGTTTAGGACATGGAGTTTAGCAAGTACCCTGTGCTGCAAATATGAATTTTTATTTTTTTAGACAATCCTCGAGAATAAGCACCTTCATATACTTCAACTGCGAACCCATCAATTTTAATTCATTCTACCTAGGTATCTGAGTACAGCCACGACCGAATTCATGCGCAATGAAAACGTCAACGTGATACCTTCAGCATCTGTGGAGTCGGCTTCAATGTCCAACGGGAAGGTTATATTGAAGGTAGGTTTGTTGCGATTCTATAATAGTTTCAAAATATAGATATTTGTGTATGATTTTATTTGGGTCCGCGGACTTCACACGAGTAGTTCAGAATTTGTGACTTCTGTTCATCTATGTAAAAATACACCACCAGCTCATCTGCTTCCTGCTGCTGCAGCCCTTCATTGGACGTTCGTCCCTGTGAAATGCATTACATGTGTCCAAGCCTGATTGACGCATTTCTTGTGCATCTAATTTCAATTTTCTTCACTGCAATATGTAGTTGACGAATGGATCCGAGATTTCCACTGACCATGTGGTAGTAGCTGCCGGTATTGAGCCAAATGTAGAATTAGCACAACAAGCCCGTTTGGAAATAGATCCGAAGTTTGGAGGTGTGCTGGTGAACTCTGAATTGGCCGCGAGGTCCGATATTTATGCGGTATGCTGATTGTATATTTTGAAAGCAAAGACGTATATAATAGGAGTTACTAATGCTTCTTGAGCCATATTCAACGAACGACCCTACTAGTGAAGAATAGTGATATTGCAATACAATATTCGCGTATTAGGCCACCAGGTCAGTTGAGTTTGCACGTATTTGTCTGTAGACCACTGTCAAGACTATTATAGTTGTAATCCCAGTTCTGACCGTCAAGCCTCCGAACTTGCTGTCTCCCATTTAGGCCGGTGACTGTGCGTCTTTCCATGATATAACTTTGGGCCGTCGGTTAGTGGAGCACCACGACCACGCAGTAGTCAGCGGACATTTGGCCGGTGAGAATATGGCTAACTCTACACAACGCAAATCGTTTGAGCACCAGTCGATGTTCTGGGGTGACTTAGGGCCCAAGCTAGGTAAATATTGTCACCTTGTCGGCCGGTGATTGATGGGAGGGATGATTGGGTATTGCGGTATTTAAATAGAACAGTTGACACCTGCGACAAGTCTAGATTTGCACTAGAAAAAATTTATTCATCTATTGTTCACCATGTTGTTCGTTTCTATCTCACGCACAGGCTATGAAGCTATCGGCATTATTGATAGCGAACTAGAAACCGTGGGTGTGTGGGCCAAAGCGAAGAGTAGTACTGCAGCACAGCCATCTGGTGAGAACTCCGGCACGATAACTCTAGCGGAAAGGCAGAAGCAAGATGAAGACTCGGAGGTGTTCAATAAGGGCGTTGTGTTTTATCTACGAAACAAAAAGGTATGTGTACTGTGCTTACGATTAGGAACGCGTGTATATATAGGTGTTTTGAGATAGTCAATCATACATCGTACTGTGGGCAAGTGTTGGTAGCGTAGCAACGGCTCAGCTGTGTCCGTTGAACTTTGCAGATCATGCCCTCGGGGCAACTTTGAAATTAGCATATGATAAAGATTTCATCTCGAACAACATGAAACACTCCACGCTAGTTTCACGCTGATATGTTCAGTTATCTGTCGATCCTTTGTGCATGAATCATCAAGTGTTTGTATCGCTTTCGTCTACAAATCACTCGCGTTCAGATACCTCAAAGTGTACTCAGAATCTAGTTATCCGCTAATGCTGTCGTCTCGTCCAAATAACTCATTTGCGTACTACGTGGCGGATGTTTTAGCGATCCTTCTCACTCTGTTGATCAACTCGCCGAACTGTAGTCTTACGCACCATGCAATGTTGTGAACTCTTGCGTGTGTTTCCTTTTGGGCAGGATAAACGAGTGTCCACTCTCGCTAGTGTTTGTCACCCTCCTCTTATTCGTTTTTTTTTCCCACTTTCTTGTAATCAGGTTGTGGGAGTGCTCCTGTGGAATCTCTTCGACAAGATCCCTACAGCCAGGCGCGTAGTTAAGGATGCGAAACAAGTTGATGATTTCAGTGAGCTAGCAAAAGTTTTCAATGTACATCAATAAAACCTAGAAGATATGTAGGTGGTGCCAAAATCTACAGATGGTAGTAGAACTATCATCGAAGTCGTGGGATGCAAACTTGTATGGGAATATTCGCTTTCTTTTCTTACCGATACCATATACGCATAGTACTAGTTAAACAAACAGAATATACAGTTTAAAATTTGAGCACGGTTACCAATATCGAAAGTAAGAGTTGTTGCCGTCTGCGTGTGAGTATGTTAATGGACGATATTAGTGTATGTACTCGACCTTTCTTCAGCTCCTTCCGACCAATATGAGTAGGTTCCAAATGACCTCATACATGCTCAATTAAAAGGACTTATGTACGCATGCACTGCACTCAAAAATGACAACCACCAGCACCGATTGTACCCCGGAGCATGCCAGTAGTATATATTCAGACTCAATTCATGTGGCACGGACTACTAACTATATATCCTACACTTGTCGGGACACTCGAACTACAGTGTGAGATTTTGTCAGTCAATTCATAGCCTTCTGAATAAACATAGAAGGTATATATCACTGAAAAAGATAAAAATATTACATATTTACTGTTCTCGCTGATCAGTAAATACATATCGACTCAAGCGAGCATCGTTAGTAAATACAGCGCCACGACCCCACCATTATTTTTTGACAAATGACAATATAGCGAATACACAACTAGATCTCTAGGGCCAACTACACAGTCAATGAGTCATACATGACTCATGTAGAATGCTCGTTGCATATTTATGTATATACATACATACGCGTTACTAGAGAGGAGAGAAGTCGTGGATAGATCATGTCTTTGGAGTCTGGAGTGTCTGGACTGGGCTGAAACTTGATGAGTTGAAACTTGAAAGCGTTAAAATTTTCATGGCCCTCTGGATTTCAAGGATTTGGGTCTCTGCTAAATTTACGATTTCCGCAACGGCCCTGATTTCTGCTCACAAATCTTGATTTTATTGCAGTTCAGGCGATGTGACGGTGTGATTTCATCATTCGCGTTTGCAACTCTGTCTGTCTACTCTATACACTACGACTACATACAGAGTACTACTACTACTAGCCCATCACTCTACAGTCTACACAGCACTCTACAGTCTACACAGTACACATCACTGTAGATATTCGTGTGGTGTATGATGTGGCTATCCCACTTCTATTAGGTGTAGGATGTAGACTGCCTCTGGGAATGTCTTTATACGGCACTGGTGACAATAAAAAATTTGACCACCTCAGGCCCAGTTTCCTACCAGTCTCATACTTATACTTTTTCGAGTTTACTTTGCATTCTTAAAAGATGTAATTAGCGTGGTTTTAGCCCATTTATTGCACTTGTTGTATTAGTTCTTTGTCGGCCTCAGAGGAGAGGTCGACGTATGTTGGATACGAATAGTGTCAACTGTAAAACCATGGGCGAATACGAAGCAATAGCTAAGACAGGACGCCTGTATACATGTGTCTAACTGCTAACATATGTCAAGCCCTAAAGACCGACAAGGACCTAACATAAGTGCAACGAATGGGTTGTATCCGCGCTACAATATCTAACATTTAAGTCAAGCACTTTCAGCCGACAGATAACATACAAACCGGCAGAAAACAATCACATCTCACTAGTGCGGGCTTAAAATCACGCTAACTACAATAATACACCTATATTTTTAAAAAGCAAATTAAACTCGAAAAAGTATATATGAGACTGGTAGGAAACTGGGCCTGAGGTGGTTAATAATTTTATTGTCACCAGTGTCGTATAAAGATATTCATGTATGTAGGCTTATGTATGTTTTTTTTAACTTTTTTCAATATGTTTGCTTTCAAAGTTTATGCTTCAGTTCCAAATTTAGTTCTAACTCGGCAATTCATCTTTTTTTTGGTGTTAAAAAAAAGCAATGTCGCGGCTGTCGGGCGTCGGCCTGTCCGCTGTGTGGAAACTGGAAAGTATCTTTTTTTAGGGGTTATTCTAAAACTTTTATTGAACTAAATATTTTCCAAATTTCCATCTTTTAACCTAAACCCAATTTTTTACGCTAACGCGACACGGCCCACCTAAATAAAAATGTAAAATCATACATATTATTTTTATTTCTTTTTAAATGCGCAAAACTTCGTTTTTTTGTTTTTTTTGTTTTTTTAAAAGAATAGAGTGTATAATCATTATTTAGACAGTTTATTTATGGAATAAATACCTTTCTTGGAAAAAAATGGATCTTTATCTCTTTGCCCAAAAAAACTGACAGACAAACAGACTGAACAATGAGAACATGGCCTCCTATGTAAATAAATACGTCCTAAAATGTGTAATTTTCAAAAGGCTATGATTTTTAGAACAATAGTTTTGGAAAATTCAGTTCGGAGGCTTCCTCTGTTCCTTACTTCAATAGTTCTTTTGGGGATCGTATTTTTTAAAGAAAATGGAACTAGTGAGCAAAAACTGACGTTACAATTATCACAAAGGTAGCCAACCTCTACCAACTTACCTCATATATCTCAGGTCTCATCTTGTCATGTCTGTGGTGCCGTTGCTCAATATTTGTACTGGGGCATTTCTTGGGAACATGCCCTTCGGAGTCTGGCGTGAGAAGTGTCATCCGCTTTCGATTCAGTGGTTCTTTGCGGTGCATGCGTGTGTGCCTTTGGTGGTTATAGCTAGGAGGAGAGCTCGGCTAAGCGTAAAGTATCTCCCCACTACACTGCTAGCAGCTGTTGGGGGACAGTTAGCTGGACCCAAGGTGTACACAGCCATAACAGGTCAACCAATTGCGAAGTTGGATGATAGTAAGAACGTTTCGATTCTGTTTCAGTGGGATTAGGTGTGTGTAGTGCGATGGTCATGGTTAAAGTCGAAGTATCTGGGTTGTTATTTCTCGAAGAGGCAGTTGCCATGGAGCATCTAGGCATCTTCGGATAACCATAAAGAATGAGAGAGAGATTAGATGTGATCGAGGCTTCCGGCTATCTTCATCGTTAAAGAGAAGACCTGACAATTGGGGCTTATGGAATCTCTCAAAAAGCAGTGGAGTGTTGTACGTGCACTTGAAGCGCTTCTCGTTGCCCACAGTGGCGGAAAGACATACATAGAGCTCTGGGCTATGCTTCAATCTGAGATGGGCTGGCATCTTCCATGTAGTATTAAATCCAGGATGGTTGATCTTGGATTCTGGGATATACCTGGTCGCAAATTTATTTTACTTGCTGAATTAAGAATTAAGAATTTAAAAGTCAGAGGATCCTGGATGAATGAGTGCGAGGACAGCAGCAACATACAAAGAAAGAAACTCAAATTTCGTAGTGAAACACTTGTGATATTCTCTCAGCTACAAGTTTCCACCGCTACAAGCGCGCAGACACTCTATTTATTGTCGCCTGGGCACGCAGACTGCACGATTGACTACGTAGAGCGATAAGCGTACTTTCGATTGAATAAACAAAACTCGGGACGGCAATCTTCCTCCGTACCGAGTACAAATGAGTTTGCAGATAGCAAAGAAGGCACTGAGCTGAATTCATGTGCGTAGCATACCCATGATCTTGATTCATTAGATTTGGATACCTATTCTGCAGTTGCTAGTTAAAATGAACTTGCTGTATACAAGGATGTGTACATTTGTATACATATTCTTGTTAGTACATATGTATACGCGTATTCATATTCATATATTCCTAAACAAACATATGTACATACAAATTTTTTTTATTGCCGTACTTCTACATGCAGATTGATATATATATATATATATATATATAAGTTTGTGGATATATGTATTTATATGTATATATATAAGTTTGTGTATATATATATATATATGTATTTATATGTATTTATAAATATATATATATATATGTATGTGTGTGTGTATGTGTATATATATACAATATATATATATATATGTGTGTGTTTGTGTGTGTGTGTATGTGTATATATATGTGTGTGTGTGTATATATATATATGTATACTATATATATATATATTTATATATATATATATATATATATGTATATACATATATATATAATATCTATTTATATATATATATATATATATATATATATATATAACATGTATAAATATATATATAAGTATATATTTGTGTGTGTGTGTGTGTGTGTGTGTGTGTGTGTGTGTGTATGTGTATGTGTATGTATATATGAAAAACAATTGCATGCGCACTTCACACTCTCTCGCAGATAACCATATGTAGCATCCGACAGGCTTCACATTAATGTAGTGTCTACACATACACGTGAGAGAGAGAGATGTATATATAGATAAATTTAATCTGAAGCTTTATTCCGTGTGTATAACTTGATCAAACAGGTAGTAAGGCTTTGAGTCCTTCAAATTGCATTTTTCAAGCGTTTAGGTGGGTTCCTGTATACAGAATAGTACAGAATACCAAAATCGGATGAAGTACTGCTGCAACGAGTAAAGCTCCCAGAGCATACACTCAAACATCCCACCACTATCACTCACATTGAACAATATGTCTTGCATGTACTTATTCAGTTTTATCGAAAATATAAAATTATAGATCGCACAGACAACCCCGACAATTGATAAAGCCGGTCCGTGTCCGAAAACGGACAATTTTGCTCTGTAGTATTATGTGTAGTCACATATATTTTTATAAAATATATAGTAAAAATTGACAATCCGGCAATGATACGCCTATAATATATATATTTATATATGGATTGCAAAGTGATATGTACTTTAAGTTAATACGATTACACCAAAGCACCTTTCGTAATATGGCCTCTGAGAATGGTTGCGCAGCCCACTCGGCGGCGACACAGTTCTTTTTGCACAGAGCTGAGGAATTAGAGCGAAGCAAAACAAGCTTAAACGGGCAAGCCCAAGCATTGGGTGCGTACGATGGCATGCTGAAACCCTTTATGGATGGCATAGCGCTCAACTTAAGAGGCAATGTGCAACAAGATGAAGAGCTTCTGACAACTCTACAAGTGCTGGCTTTTCAAGCTGGTGATGGTATATATTCTACAGTGTGTGCATGATATGTGTTCGGCCTTTACATGATGTGCTATTACGCTTGAAGTGTTCGTCTACAGCATTTGTATCAGTATGCGTTCACCCAACCCAGACTACAATAGGGTAACTATATACAACTGTGTCTGGCAATGTAATTTATCGGCAAGTGAATTCACGTTTATATGTTCAGCATCAACAACGATTATCTTTGCGTTTGATTACCGCCGTGTTATTCCGTGCCTTGCCATCAATTCCTGCTATTTTAGGAATACTTGCACAAGTTTAGATACATATACCATTGGACTCTGGTCCGCGATGCATTATCCGATCTCGTCTTTATCTCAGACTGTGTATGCTTACATTATCATTCGTCGATGTGTTTGTTTAATCGCATTAATATTCAAAGCTGTATGAGAATACACATCAATGGTTGCATTTCATGATAATAGCGTGCGCATATTTGCCTCTACTATATGTATTTCTTGACAAGAAGCAGATAGGTATGTGGACATACATTTATGCAACTTATGTTTGTATCTTTGTTTCAATACGATATAAGCATATATATAAATATGTATATATATATATGATTAGTAGTTGTTGTGTGCGTGTATATATATATATATATATATTTGTGTGTGTGTGGGCGTGCATATATATATATGTGTGTGTGTGTGTGTGTGTGTGTGTTTCTTTTTTGTATCACAAGCTAGTTTGTGTGATGTTTTATGTATACATGTATTCAGACTGCAAAGTATTTCACGTATATGTTCTTCCATAAGTTTTGATTAACTCGCAAAGGGATGGATTGTAGTCTCTGAGACCAGAACAGATGGCGGTCCCGCAGTTGCCTTTGTTCAGTTCTGGTTAGTTTTGTGATTCCTTATACGTAGATATATGTAGTACGTCCATCGATGCAGGCACGGCTCTTTACTTAGTTCACCTTAATTTTTGTCTGGGTCATACTTGGTTAGAATTGCCAACTTATATATCTGATGCATTGCTCAATGTCATCGCTTGCTCGCCTCTATTCTGATCTTTGATCGCTCCCTCTCTCTCACACACACACACTCTCTCTCTCTCTCTCTTCCTATATAGATGGCCAAGCATACCGTGAGAATCAAGGGATGGAACGACACAACATCAATTCTATGCGTGGTATTGTTACGAACTGGATGAATGCTGAACGTACCAGGTAGTTCCGAATCAAATTACCGAGTTTTCTGGCCGTTTCTTGGTACAATGCTTACGCTGATTTGCGAGCTAGTGATTGTCTACGGGAGCAAGTACATGTAAACATATGTTTGTGATTGGCTTGTACTGTGTGATCAGTCCACGACATGTATTTCACCACGCTGTAAGTTATATATAAATTCGATATAGTGTTTCACTGTATGACTTGGTTATAGTGTGCATGGCACGCTCGACTTGCAACGATTATATATTATCATCCTCATAGGATTGGAAATCATATTTGTCACTACCATATCACCTACACTACCATAACACCTACACAACCTCCGATATCTTCTCGCATAGATACAAGAGCGCTCTACAGGGGATAGAACTTTTGTCGGAGAATATCGAATATCTAGACACGGATTCGATGCTGAGCGGCCAACCTCAGCCAGTCCACACACCCACACCACGTGAACAAGTGAACCAGCCACAAACAAGTGTGGCACAGCATGCCCCATCGCAAACAACTGCACCAGCTGTCAATTCTCCCTACAGTAGCCACGCTCGCGATCCTTTCGATGGTGGTATGTTTGTGCGAAGAATCTTGGAGCCAGATACCTTCAATTATATACTTATATATGTGTATGTTTGTGCCTTCTTACCGGTATGTTTGTATGTATGTGTGGACATGTGTGTATGTTTGTGTAGTGGAAAAGTCTGTATGTTTGTAATTCCTTCCCGTTTACGTATTGTATTTAAAACAAAAACTTGCATCTTTTTCTTGTACGTATACATAGAGTTACTTTGCTTGTTCGATTTTACATTGGTTGGTGATGGAGATCATCTCATTGAATATCATTCCCGGATCTCCGATACTAGTTTTCCATTGCTTGATGCATATTTATAGCGGCCGATCAAGGATTCGATGATCCGCATGCAGCAGATCCATTTGAACAGACCTCGACTAATGATGTTTCAAAGGCACGCAGTGTGCGTGGCAAGAAGGGCAAAGGGGACAAGTTAGAGAAAACGAGTAGGTGAGGCAACAAACCGTTCAGATTCTCTCTTATTCTGTCTTGTGTTGCATATTTCTGCTGAAGTTTGGATGAATACTTTGTGATGCTCCTATCATATGTTCAGAAAAGCTCAGAAAGTAATTGAGATGAAACTAAGTAATTGAGATGAATATTTCTTTCCTGAGAAGGCTACTATACTATTACCTTCCTACTCTGTGTAGTTAACGTTTTAGCACGTACACCGTAGTAGAATCCTTTTTGAAATGATAAATTGTACCTTTGGATCAGTGTACTCGATTACTGTATGCTGAAGGATTTATTTACAGAGAACATTCTGTAAGGTTCGTTGAATTGGCAAACCCTTCTAGTTGTTTCTTTTATCAACTTATCCAACCCCAGTTGGACTCCACCATCACTAATCACCTACGGGAAAATCATGAATGAGTTTGCATAGAAGTGTGTTGCAATCTGATGTCGGAGGTTGGTGAGGTTATTGCTACTTTCTAGTACATTTAAAACAAGGTAAATAGCAAGGGCATATTTAGCAGTGAGACCTGCTGCTACAATGATGACTCGCCATTTGCTCGCGTGCATTTAAAGTCCGCCGTGAGCTGTAGTACTTGAGCGAGTATGTGCTACGTTTTTCTAATCTACCCGTCCAATATAGTATATCCGATAGTTTCACAGCTACAATAATTCCTTCACCCCAATCCTCAAACACAATGATGATCCCGCCATCCAATTACAGTAAAGGTTCAAGTAAAAGCCACAACATGTTCGGCACATTAAAACGAAAGACGAAGTCGTTGACTCTGAGGAAGAAGGGGAAGAAAGACGAACCGGTATGCGATTGACTGAATCTCACCAAGTGCATTAACAATGGGAGTTCAATTTCTGAGTGAGGGGCGTGCCACTGCCCTTTGCACCGCGTGATGTGAAAAAATTGATCCCATGTCAGTACTTCCGTATCATTCTAGCACATATTTCCACTTTGTTCTCTCACACGTTTGCTATGTTCTATACTGTCCCTTGTCGTGCAAACATATTGTTTACTATAATACAAGTTTTCTTCTATTACAACTTATACTTTTGTATATAATGTTTTACTTCTTTTTGGGAACCCCCAGGCGAACTCGCAATCTGACTTGTCCGGCGAGGCCAACAGTACCACAAATATGCCGGACGACGTCCACAGCACTCACACCACCACAACAACCAACACAACAACCAATACAAACGCGAACGAGCAGTCTGCAACGGATGCTCGCCACACTCAGGAACCAATCCCCATTTCTTATGCTGCGGGAGATACCAACATGACTACAAACTCAGCTACAGCCACAGACACGCACAGCCAAATGGCTGCAGAAGCAACCCCCGATTCCAGTTTTTATACACCGTCTGACGTGAGCACGTCTGCCGCGACAAACCCAACTGCGTATACAAACGCCGGCGATCCTAATGTGAACGTGTCCATGCCTGCACCGGCGGGTGTTGTGGCAGCCCCATCAGAACAACTGGACAATCCATTTGGCGAGTATGGGCAAATGGGCCAGGACGGGCTCACCCCTGGAATGCCAGTAGATAACAACAATGTATCGGGATTGGCGTTCGTCCCAGAGCCGCCAGTCGATTCCCAGGGCGCCCCACAAAGCGCCCTCGTGGACGATGGTGGCAGTCAGGTATATCTCAACTGGCGACGCGGGAGATTTGAGATCATCTATGTATCTCTTGCTATAGCTTTTGTAGATGTGCTCTGTCGTTCATTATTTTTATTATACTGACCGTTGACTGTCCTCTATTTTCTACTATGCGGTTGCACGTCATGTACACCGCTAGCATTTCAGCCTAGATTATGTACCTTTCGAGGGTGTATGCGCGAGCATCTACTTTGTAGAGACGTAGTCGGTAGTCTCATTATTCTATTGAACTTTGATATATGACACACACAGGTGGTGGTCGCCGCCAACCAAGGTTCCGATGACAGTTTCTCAGACAGCTCTGACGAAGAAGAAAAGGGGAAGCCCGCAATCATGGTCAAAATAAGGTTTGTTCTGTGTTTGCACACTAATTTTCAGTTTGTTCTTCGTTACCGACTAAGGTATTGTAGTTGAGAAATCCCTGGGTACACTAGAAATTTATTTTATATCTCGTTGTAGCTATAAACGAACAAATTGGTTGCAGTGGCTTTCTTTCTTAACACGATTGCCGTGCCAAGTTTGCAGACAGTCATGATCCTGTTTCGAATCTCAAATCATCAATTGCCAGTAACAGTCCAACTATTGACGTGTCTTGCGTCACAGCTTTTAGTAGCTATTCATCAGAACTATGCACGTAATATATATATACAAATATATGCAAAGATATATATCTATATATATATATATATATATGTATATGTTTATATATGTATATGTATATATATTTTTAAGTATATGTATATATATTTTTAAGTATATGTATATATATATATATATATATATATATATATATATATATATATATATATGCATATATATATATGTGTGTGTGTGTATATATATATATATACATATATCTATATGCATATATATATATGTGTACATATATATATATATATATAATACATTATATTATTCATATATATGTATATGTACATGTATATGTAAATGTATCTGTATTTGTAACTGTATATGCAGGAGTATAAGTACGTATATATGATTATGTTTACGTATGTGTATGTGTATGTACGTATGTATGTTGTACGTGTTGTATGTATGTATGGTATGTTGGTATTTATATATGTATATATATATATATCAATTTGTGTAGATTTCAGTTTACTCAAATTACTCTCTTATTTATAGACCAAGAGATGAGCACGAGCAGATAAATGAAGATGTAGATTATTCAAGCTTCAAGCTGGATAGTATCAATTCGCCCCCCTCAAGTCGCGCGAGGAGGGAAAGGAATACACCACAACGACAGCAAGATGATACTCCTTTCGATATGGGTGAACCCAGATGGAAGAGTGAACAGGCTATGAGTCAGGTATGTCCGAGAATCTTACCAGCACAAATTCATTTATGTTGTAACATAACATCAGTATTTGTACCACTGCAATATAGATATCTGAAGCTCTATTCATTCTGATACGTAAGTGCATGCGTACGATTCATCAGATATTATCGGATGCACCTTTTGACCTCGAAGCATTTGTGAAATTATAGACTACACTACTCGGTTTAAATTTTACGCCTGAAATGCTCCGTCATTTCATATTTACCCCACTCTCTAGAGCCTTTTAAGGTCGTAAACGACTGAGCTTCGCTCGATTGGCTATTCTGCTATTCCCTTACAAGGTCGTAAACGACTAGACTTCGCTTGTATTGATTAATATATCTCCCAAATGACTCTATGAGCAGACGCCCGCCTTGAGCTCCTCGTCGATTGCGGATAGTTCTGGATCAATACCCGCGATGGCGAGGTCGACGACCACTCCTGCTTTGTTCATCGCAACAGCTGATGCTGATCCGGATGCGCAACTGTCGAAAGCCGTGGCTATGCAGGCTGCTCTCACAGAAACCAGTAACGTGTACTTTAAAGGTAAAATTTCATGCCAAACACTTTCTCTGTCTGTTTGGTGTTCCAACTGTCATTTGCAAGCTCGTGTGCTGTTTATTTAGTCGATTGTGAATTTTTTGTGTTGACATGGAGTCGCCCAGAACACTTTAGTATGTGTCTACTCTGACGCAGTTCAAGTATGCCTTAAAAAAGAATTGTATATATCCATTGCTTGATGTGTTTGTCCGGTATCAGCAGGTGCCTTTTGCGTTGGGACTGAAAGAAAGGTTGTTGGCGTTCAGTTTTGTGTAGAAAGGAAGTGCTCTTTTCTTATCACTACAAAAGCGCCTCTTCAGTTCCTAATTTCATTTCGAAACTCTCAAGCGGTTCACCATGCATGTTTAATCGGAAACCTTATCTGCACCAAAAATACAATGGGACAACCAATGTACACACACCGACACTCGTATTAAACTGAGATATTGGCGGTTGCATCATACAACCGCGCCCTCGCACATCCATATCTTGTGTGCAAAAACATCCCCTAATTACTTGAAGCTATACCTTTTTATTTTACATTATAGGTGCGAAGGTCGGAAAGTCACTTCTCGCAGGAAAGTTGATGCTTTCCTTCAACCAGTGTCTAGAGAGGTATGTACATGGCTGGCATTCCCTATAAATCGCATCGCGCACGATCTGTGATGAGTATACTTACAATCCCTTGAACTACAAGTGCGCGAGATCGGATTTGCCGAAGCTCGCATCATCGGTTTCTTACCGTTCTGTTGGCTTAACTGCACTGTTTAGCTGACTACAACATTATTATTTTTAAATGACAGGGTATTAGAGGATGCTGAAAGGTCGCAACCGCTTACGCTCAACTTTAGCTCAAAGGTGTCTATAAGCCAAATTGTTATGAATCCCGCCTTCCGGGAAGCATCACGCGGGACTTCGAAGGTACTGGAGAGTGTCTCTCTATCTGATCGCGCTTATATGCCCTTGCATTGTTTTAACGTGTATGACCGGGTTTTCGAAGACAAGTAATGTTATAGTGCTTGTCATATGAACAGCTGTACTTTAAAGTAATTGATGCACTTGTGGTGATCTCACACGTTCTGAGTACGGATTACTCACTTGTACTTTGTCTTCTTTCTCATACTGGCGCAGTTGGCAGCGGGAGAAACATTGACACTGCAGGTGTCCGCTTCAGACCTGATGGCTACCCTCAAAAAGAAAAATCCACCGGTATGGAACCTGAAAAATGCGATTTTGTAGTCTATTCTCTGTTCTCATTCCAGACGCAAGTGATAGCATGCTGACACTGTTCAGATTTAGATCTCGTATCAACAATCGTCGAGATGTTGAAGTGTGAAACGCGTCTGATTTTCTATTTGTAATCAGCCATGCCAGTGGGGTATCTGCTCACCTATCTCCTGACCGATCTTGTCTTTTCTGTGGCGTTGGTTTCATCTAATCACCTCGTCTCTTCGTTTTAGGCCCAGGGTATACAGATGGTAGGTAAAAGCTACCGGTTGACACTGATGACATATCAGTCTGTGTCGCAGAACGGTACAGACCTGGTTCCGCTCTTGGTGCATACACAGTGGGATTGCGCAACTAACGAAACGAAAGTAGTATGTGATTACAAAATCAACTCCGAAAGCGTAGGAGCACCTGAGCTTGCACTGAGTGACGTGAAGATTGCGGTGCAAATGGCGGGTGATAAAGCGACCGGGTGCGATAGTCAGGCAGCCGATGCACATTGGGATGAAACTACTCAGGTACAACTTGTCGCTTGACTGCTTAGTGATTGTTGTTGGAAACACTGCGGTGCATATACATTCTGGAGTTTGGCGGATTGTATATGTATAGATAGCGGTAGAGTCGATGACTATCCTGGAGTCCGTGCTCGTTCTGTATATCGCGAGAGATTACTCATTTTTTACTTAGGGTTGTGAAAACTGCATTGTCCTCAGAAATACTCCACGTGTATTCGGGTGTAGTTCCGTCTAACCATTTGATTTTTAATGCATATATCTTTGTTTTCTAAAACAATCGATTCAAATACATATCTAGAAATTGGAATGGACTATCCCGAAACTCGATAGAAGCACTAACACCGGTGGGACTATCACGGCGCACTTCTCAGTGGATGGCAAGTCCAAAAGGACAAAGACGATGGTCCGATTCCACGCGAACAGCTCAATTATGTCAGGTGCAGTGTTAGAGAATGCAGCGGAAGCCCCAGCCTATTTTAGACTCAGGTGGGTATCGCTGTCCAATGTCCAATCGTTTCAGTATTTTTCCTGAGAAAATTAAGTACATATCAGTGACATATTCAACTAGCGATCGAGGTTTAAAAGAGCACTCCGAGCAAGTTGTAGTGCTCAGTAGTGGCTATCTTATCGATAGAGTGCTTCTGTGCTTGTACGTTTGTTATATGAGCTATTTTAGAAAGTCATGGGTTGCAAAGTCTGGGACAATTAATATATGTATACGTGAAATTGCAAACGCAGCGCTATAAGCTTCGGTCGTGAATATTTTGGAGCCTTGTAAGTTAGAAACGAGATTGGCTGTGTAGATTGTATTCCTCAGAGGCTATCAATTGCAGGTGATATTTTGTATCGTGTGCGATTTGAAAATTTGTAGAGAGCTGAGGATATATCCGGCTATTGTGTGCTTAGACCCGGCAAAATGGCGTACATATAGAGGAATTGATGGAAGTTCGAGATTCATACATATTTGTAATTCAATTTTGTAGAATTGGACCCCATGGTCACTTCAAGCATACTTTGCACCTGCACCCCAGGCGTATCCGAAAGCATCGTTGCAAAGTGTTCGTCATTGATATCTTGATCACTTGACTTCACTTTTGGTGCTATCGTATGCACGCTTATTTATTCCAGTTTGCTACCGAACGAACCCATAAAATTTCAAAGTACCATTGCTATTTATCTCACCCTCTCATCTCGGCTACCTCCTTCTTCATACAGGAAAGTTATAAGGAAAACAACCGCCGGAAAGTACATTTCTGATTTCACCAGTGAATCCGCCGATGGAACCGGTGCGCCCGTGCCAAAACTGCCCTCTGCACGTGTGAACTCACTGCGCAAAATGCCTTTGCCGAAGGAGGTCCAGGGCGACACTCCAGCTGATGAACAAACGACACCACAAACGGTTATGTCAAAGGAGGAAGAGAGCAAACAACCGGATCACACACACGCCGGTGAAGATCCACAACCGCCACTGCAGGAACCATGGATGGCCCAACCAGGTGTCGTTGGCATGGACCCAACTGCAGCAGTCGCCGCAGCTGCACCCGCCCCGGGGCCTTTCGATTTCATTTCCGCTGGGATCTCCGGCGCCTATGGGACACTGACGGGAGATACAGTTGACGCTAAGAGCATCACGCCAAACCAAACCGGAGATAGTGGCGAAGCTTCAGCTACGGCTCAAAGCCAGTTGGCGGATGAAAGTATCATTCCGAGGAAGTCATCTGTTCCACCCTCACACCCTCCACCTCAACGGAATTCTCAGGACATTTTAGGGTCGCCGCCAGAGCTACCCCCGCCTCGGAAGAGCAGCAGGGGGGGTGTCAGCAATCCTTTCGGTGACAACTAGGAACTAGCAGATAAATACTGTCATATTTTCGTACATTAATGTTTCTAATGACATCTGTTTTCCTTATCATACACATTAGTCGCTTCGTAGAGGTACCTAATATGACAGTATTAATGCCAATAAAGTATGTGCGCTGAAAAAAATATTCAGGCATTTATATTGGGTGGTAGGACCGACCTTAGCCCGACACAGGACACAGCTGAACAGGAAATCAACGAGTATGTATTGATTTGGTAGACTTCATTACATATGGTTTATTGTGCTTCTTAAATTTAGTAGATTCCATTGCATAGAGTATATTGTACATCTTTTGTTTGGTCAATTTCATTGCATTACATAGAGTATATTGTACTTGTCTTGAGTAGATTTCACTACATTGAGTATATTGTGCTTCTTGTTTTTAGTCGATTTCATTACATTACTTGGGGTATATTGTACTTGTATCTAGTAGATTTCATTACATAGATTTATTGTACTTGTATTTAATAGATTTCATTACATAGAATATATCGTACTTCTTGTATTGTGTGGATTTCATTACATAGGGTATTATATACTTCGTGTATTTAGTAGATTCCATTACAAAGAATATATTGCACTCCTTTTACATATTTCGGCCTGTCTTGCTAACTTCAGGATTTGGAAGAAATATTGGCATGAGAAAATATTGTTGTATATTTTTGGTATATTCCTTACAAAATATCGAGTTGAATATTGTAACGAAACATCACAAAGTAAGCCTCGTGTTCAAAATTTCTTAAGTATGTTGCATATTCAGTTGGCAAATACGCTGCAACTGAAAATTGTCCGACTTCTATTCATTAAGAATCGGGCAGCCCTATTTCTCCATTAGGTTGGCATAATATCGAGTGTCTATTGGATCTCTATTTGGTATTTCATACTCATTTAGCGACCGACACGACTAAGAGTTCGGACCTATCAATACCGAACTACGAAAGAATGACACATGGGGACAAGTGGTCAACCAGGAGGTAAATGTTATGAATGAAGAGGACAGCTTATTGAATGAGGTGAGCGCCAAGGGAAGAAGGATGGACACTGTATGGTTATCACTAGTCCTGGTTAGTTGCACCTGCCTCGTCAGGAGGCATGAGAGGAGTTCTCATACAACAAGATGGACAACAAGGTCGGAGAAGATCCTGGAGGATCGGACAAGCTATCCGGGGATAGGATAGTTAGGATATGAGAATGAATACCAAGGTGCCTCCGAGCACTCAACTAGTGAACTCGGGGGCACACCTGATAAACTGAAGTTAACAAGCTTGTGCATTGTCATTTTATAAGTATATTGACCTCTACAGTTAGATGTACCGAAATTGTTGGTCATAGAGTGAATATCTAACGCACACGAAAGTTAGCGCCAAATTTTATTTTGACTGTTTTTGTTTATTACGACTACCTATCGATAACACCGGGTCGAGTGATAAAATCAAGTCAGGCGGTAAGGGGCTAAAACAGTGGAAGAATTATACGGTGGTATTCGTCGTTCTTGCACCCATTGTTTAGTAAATGAGATGAGGCCAAGGCAACGAAAGTATATGAAATAATGCTGAGACCACAGGAGAAGACTTGTTCGGGTACCGGTCAGTGTCTGGCTCTGCGGATGCGACAGGTGGGACCAGAAGTAGAGTACCGATTAAGTTCTAAGATCATCAGTAAGACCACGGTGACGCACGCGGAACATAATATTATACGAACATTTGAGCCTTGCGCAAACATGTTCAACAAAGGCGATAGTATATAAGTGCAGGGATGGGCTACCAGGCTGAAGGGATACTTTTACTAACTTCATCACAGTGGAAGGACGTTAATTGGTGTGCGTACGATTATTCTTCAGCTGTCAATGAAACTGGTCGAGGAGGAGAATTAGAGTTCTGCCCCGTCAACGTACAAGCAATGTTACGAGAATGCTCCATCGTTGGTAGCTGGACGAAAAGATAGTGCGGTGAGTTCAAGAAGACTGTCAGATGAGAGTGCAAGCCTCATAAATGAGGATCGACTACGAGCAATGCGAGAGGGACGAGCGGGTACATCGACTGGTAAGGAAGGCGACACAGAGCTAAGCGAGTTAGCAAAGTAGAGAATTGCTGCGTTGGACGCAGCACTAGAAAATGTAACGACTGGGACTCGACGTATTATGAAGTCATACGATTTGAGCGCACGGTCAGAGTAGTTGTCACTTGAGGAAATTCATCAAAATATTCTAAACAACAGGTTTATTCTAATGTACAGTTCATATAAGTGGTTGGTTTCCCTACTAGGCGAGCCACCTATGGAAGAACCAAATAATGGCGCTGTGCAAACACGCGGGTGCAAGCTAGGACGGGTGGTAGCAGAATTTGACAAATTAGTATTGTATATGTTCTCCACGTGCCTTGAATTGAACGTAAGGAGCGTCTTCATCACTATCTATACGTCAGTAGGCGGTTATGCTGCCTAGCATTTGCACTCAGCACTAAGTATGAAAGCGCGATGTACAATACTGAGGTAAACGGGAAGGTTCAGTGCAGCACAGTGGATCACTCGGCAATCAAAACAAGAGCTACGAAAATAGAGCAGGTGCGCGGTCACGATCCAGGAGCGCTGGCGAATTACAAGGTACTTGTCGCTCACCTGCCAGGAGTGGGTCGGTTCCTACACATAAAGGTGACATCTGTGGGTGGGGATCACTACCGGTCAGAATGTTTTATATTAGAAAAGATAGGCCCAGGGCATTACGACTTACGACTGTTAGAAGAACTACGCAGCTTGAGTGACTACTCGAAGGACGAAAAGTGTGTGATTCGGTTGGTCATTATTATAATTGTACCGCGGTAACGGGTCATTCCCGTTGATGATACACACTAAGGTTGTCCAAGTGGATGGACTCGCGCAGCGGATGATTCCGAAGAAATATTGAGGGCGCATGATGGGCCGCTCAAGCTATCTTCAAAGTATGGGGTGTATACGACGGTCCAGCTAGGTATATTTCTTAGCCATACAGGACAACCATGCACTTATACTACATCTACGTGGTCGATATAGCACCACTAGACAAAGTGGCGATCCTCGGCATTGTGGCGCAACGCCATACTCTTCTGCAGACGGTATAGGGTCAACATACAAACCCACCAGGGTTTCGACCGACACACCACTAGCAGGGGCTCAAGCCGCCACGTTGGTGTGCAGGACATCTGAGACAATTTATAGCATGAAGATCATGCCCTTCCAAGAGAATGTAATTAAGGGATCCGAGTACAATTTCACAATTTTCGATGCAATAGCCAAAGGTACTATTGTGTCTGAAAAAGAGCAGGCGAGTATGAACGATCACTGAAGAAAAAAAATCGCGACCGGAAGGAAAAGCCGCGCACGCTTTCAAAAGGATCAGGGTTCTGGATTTCAACGCGATAAGATGCGATTATCGCGGGCGGAACGTGTGATTCGGCAGTCGTGTACAGAGTCGTTTTACGATAAAAGCATGTCACCCATAGTTTGGCTAGCAGTCTTGCGGCGGTAGCTGAGCACAAAGGATGCATTGCCAGAGACATAACCCAGGATACGTAGGAGGGTATCGTAGTGGGGTTGTGGGGGTACCGAACTACACGTAGCAAATCGATTTATAGTTGACGCGATGTGAACGCGTGTCGTCGTGGCAGCATTTATTCTTCACCATGTTGCAAAAGCTCTGTTTCGAGGATTGAAGAGCTTTAGACCCAGCGTTGAGCAGAGGCAAATCAGACTGAAACCGCAAGCCTGAAGAGCTTCAAGTGGCGTATCAGTGTGATCTGCAACTTCACTATTGATGCTGACTCCTTCCCCGCGAAGAGGCTACAATTTTTAAGCTGGGTGGGCAATTCCTAATCGAGAATATTGGGATTCTCGGTTTGTATCGATATTTAGGAGGGGGTTTTTTTTGGTCTAGAACAATTCTACAAATTTCAATACACAATGCCAAAAAAAAGTGACAAATGAGTTTTGATGAGATAGTATCACGCGACTCTCCGAAAAGACGAAACGTATAACTAGAGAGGATTCGCGAAAATGTTAGAGCTTAAGTTTGTAGACATTGCGTAGACTTTTAGGCTTAGTCATAGACCTTTAGACCGCTACGGGTCTGTCGGAAATTGTATAAATAGAGTAGTATAGTAGTTTGCAATCCTCAGACTTTTACACAAATGATTAGACAAGGATAGAGGAGTATTGCTAAGACTACTTGAATCGTAGGCTTTGACTTGAGCCGAGAGCTAATAGTTGATACTATGCTGAGATTCTTCGTCTTAGACTTTGAGTAGGGATTAGAGCTTCTAGTGTACCTTGTGGACCAGAATTTTTGGACTTTTGACTTTTCGGGTTTGGACAAGGATTTGTTTTAGGGCTTAGCGTTTAACGATCAAACCGGTATCAGGACGGAAAATTAGGGTCAGGGATCTCAAATAAACATAAAAAAAGCGTTCAATAACCAACCGGGATTAAAAATGAATACCACTAATGAGGAAGGAAAAAATCGGGGCTGGACTTGGGCCTTGGAAATTTGTCTTTAAACAACCAGATAGTGAAAAAAGCCTCTTTTTGTGGCGAAAAAAAAAACGCCTTTTCTGCTCAATATTAGTCAATAATAGGCAATTTTATTGTACGCTATAGTTAAAAGTAATGTACAAAGTGGTGGTAAACCCTAGTTTATTTTACAGTTGATTATACGTGTTTTTGGACTCCACATTAACTGTCATTTCTAAGTCTGTACACCTTACTATTTATACCATTTGCGCACACCTCCTGCCTATCCAATCGGCAATTTGTACCCAATTGACCTCCCCACGTCTTAATATGAATCTCCTGCGTACATATAGCATGTTCACATGCTTCTTCAGAACACTACAGGTGCCAAGATACGTTACACGTATACATTCATTAGTGCCTCATCACATATGCCTTAGTCAATGTGCGATCATTCTCTTATCCATCCAGATCCAGTCATTCAATCCCTTACCTCATTTGGGCTAACGATATGTTCTGCTCATACGCTGTGCTCATGTCATAGCACCATCTTGACTGTGTCTTCAAGCATCTCATCCCTCTAGTTAATATTAAGTATGACTGCTGCTGTTACTACACAAATATACACATATTGTCTCCAATTATTGTCTGACACTATTGTCAAAATATTTGATATAACTGACAATAACTCAACCT